ACAGTTTTTAGCTGCATCAGCAGCTAAAGGTGCATGGGTTTTGCTGGACTGCATGGTTTTCAGGGCCAGGGTTGCTAGAGCTGGCTGGAATTAAGGCTTGGACTAGCACTAGATATGGCCTGAGAGGATTTTTAAGGAGCTTGGGTTAGATCCTGGAGCAGAAAAGACCACTGGGCAAGTTTTAAGACTTCAGCCACCATGGATGTTTAATCCAGTTTAGATGTACAGCTGTTGCTGTCCCAGGGTTAATTGCGGAGTTTGCTCAAATGAGATGAACTGGATTTACATCTGGTCCTACAAAGACTGCCAGACTGGTTTTGTGGGATGATGAATTAGACATTAGATGTTCTTTTAGGTTCAAGCTTTTGAATGCAGGTAATTGGAGAGATTTGTGCACAGCTGTACTATAGAAATCTACCATGATATTTATTCTCTTAATTCACAGCAACCTCTGAAAAAGCAAACTTGCTAAAAAGTTGTTACCGTTTTATAATCACACACCCAGTGGCTTGGCAGAACAAGATAATCAGCAGCTAAACCATCCTGGGGAAATTTTTTTTTTCATAGAACCATCTCTGAAACATACCTTTTTATAACCTATTTTATCCATTTTGTGTCTTTTTTTCCCAAATATTTATGTCTCTGTGCCCCACACTTTGGTCACTTATTATATATGCACTACTTTTATATTAGTGTCATTGCTATCGCTATTATGGTTTACCTTGCAGATGTCTTATCAACATGCCCAGCACCAAAACTGTCCTGGGAGCTACTCTGTTTGTGTTCAAATCTAATGTGGTCATATGTTGTCCGGTTGCTACTGAGCAAGAAGATGCATTACTTATTGTGGTAAAAAGCAAACTGTCTACAAAGGTTTTGTGCTAGGAAAGTCGGGCTAATTTTAAGCTGGGGACTTAAAGAGGAAGCTGGTTTATGGCTAGATTCCCCACCAGCATAGACTGTCTCTGGGTGAGGTTAAAAGGGGCCAGGAAGCTTGGTTTTGTGGTGTACGTAGCAGGGACTATGTGGTTATTTCTAAACCTAAATCTGGATGGAGTAACCTTTAGTGTCATTGATTCCATCATGAACACTGTGCCTTTTAATCCATCAAATACGATTACTTCTCTCATCCCAAACTTCAAACAGCTCCAAGAGGCTGCAGTGTTTTAAAAGAAAGCTTCTCGACTGGAATTGCCACAGAAACATTTTATTTTCCCTGAAATTATGTATGTTTCACACTAAGAAGGGTTATAATCAGCCCTGCAGCAGTAAGTAAATGCTTAAGATGAACTTTCAATGGCCTATCAGAGCTAAAAGTGGGCATTTTGATAGAAAGAGAACATTCTGTCCACACCAATGGACCATGCAGTATCTGTGCATAGACCGGAAAGAATATGATATGCTAGTATTTAGAACTAGGCTCCTCTCTGCACGGCTGCTGCTGAGTTTGCCTTTTCTGCCCCAGGCAGCAAGCATTACCCTCTAGCTTCCCACCATTATAAGGTTCAGCCTCCTTGGTTTCGAATAGCCTTAAGCACCACATGTGGTACCTGCTTTATCCCTCTTGTTTCTTTTTCTTCCTCCTGCCAACTGACTCCATTTTCCCTTCCCTGATGCCTTCCCTCCCTTCACAATTCCACCAGCTCTGCTCCCCACTCTTGACCTCAGGCTTTTTCCTTAGTCCTTCTGATATCTACCCAAGCACAGGCCCCTTTCACCACCACCATTCCTGCTTCCTAGACCCTCATAATTGTTCCTTGTCACTTAACAGGCTTACTCCCCTTCTTCTCTCTTCCTTTTCCTCTTTCTGAAGCTTTCACAGCAACTCTGACAGGTCACAGTCACTCCATCAGCTCTTGGCCTTCATGGACACTTGAATGCTTCTGTATCAGGCTCTCTTTCTGAGGGATTTCCTGCTCCAAGACTTCCCAAATGGGTCACACAGGCTGCTTTGAGTGGCACCACAGCTCTTCCCTCTCTCCAAGTTGCCATCAGCTCCTGGCTACCCAGATCCTCCACACACCACTCCTTTTTGTCTTCTCTTCCAGTGCTTTCACACCCCTAATGCTCCACCAGATGCATCTCTGTAATGCTAATTTAGGCCTTGACCTACCCACAGTGTTTCCTCTCATACTGGGAATGTTAGAGACATGCAGGCATTTGCAGAAATGTGAAGACAACAGAAAGTCTTTTCACTACTATAGCTGCTAGAGGCTAAAGTAAAACCTGCATTTTTCTCATAGAAAGTATTTTCATGAGACCATGTATCCTGAACCAGTTTTGGAGAGGAACAGTTTGGTGACAGAGTGTCTTGTTGACCCTGAAATCCGAGTGAAAGGAATTGTACCAATGAGATCTGTTTCTAAAATAAATGATATGGAAAGAATATGGAGAGGAGGCAGCTACAGGAGATGAAGACAAGTGTGTTATTCCCACCTTGAAACAGATGACGGTCAAAGATAAAACAATCGTTCTCACTGCCTCAACAAGCAGCGCAATACCAGCAAGTTAACTCTGACACACAGGGTTGTGCATCTATCACAGGGTGGCCAAACAGAACAAAAAGGCTGAAAGCACAGATGGATAAATGTTTAAATTAATCCCAGTGAGAGATGAAGACACATGCCCTGTGTTCCATATATGTTCTACGAATGATTTGTATGCATCTTTATGCTTGCCTTAGTTTAGCTACCTCTCAGTTTGCTCGCCTGGTTAGAGAAAGTGAGGGAAAACATTCTTTCAGTGGCACATCACCATCTTGTGGAGAAGTTTAATTAGTGCAGCTCTCAGTTGGGAAACGAAGGCTGACCTAAGTCTCTTAACCTCAGATTATGCTGGAGTCTGAATGAATTTTGGGTACTTATGGTCTTGTTCATACTGGGGAACTGGCTTGCACAGTTGCAAGATTTATTCTGGTACTATCAGTTTGCTCTTCTGGAACAGCTCTTTGAGAGCACAGGAAATTTTTCGGGATCAGCAAAGGTGTCAACATTGCATTCAGACAGCAAAATCAGTTAACTTCCCTGAGTCAACGGATCTAACAGGGTGCAATTCATGTGCTGAGATCCTGGACCAGATGGATGAAGGGCTTCCACTGTCATTCAGGAGAAGCTAAGACAATATGCAAATATTTAAAATGAACCACTTCTTCCTACGGTATTCTCATTTTTCCTGGCACACTTACATCTCCGCCATAGAGCATGGAAATTATACAAACTAATATCCACAAAGCCAACACCGTTGAACTTATTTGTAAGGTTCCATGATGGCTTTCAGTACTCTAGGCAAAACTTTAGGTATAAATAGGAGTCACTGTTCCTGTTGAGATATATTCTAATTCTAGTTCTATTTAGTTCAGGTAAGGCATTGAGCCTTTGTCTCTTACTTTACTAGGCTTTTGGGTACTTCAAGCATCTCTCAATGTCTCTGTTGAAGTTGTTTTTACATAAATATGACTAGGAGCTGGAAGACTGTTGTAAATCTACTGCAAAGAAAAGGAGACTTCTTTAGAGAGGCTAGTTAAGCTGCAAATCTCCTTGTATATATATGGCTTCAAAAAAAGGTGTTTGCACAAATTAATGGAATACAAATTTGCTGATAGCTGCTAAACATAAAATACCAAAATCTAAATACCAAGTCACAAGAGGCTAGAAAAGTAGATGGATTTTGGGTCTCATACAGTACACGTTTCAGGGCAGCAGAGGTAGATAGCCTGACTACTAGGATACAGGCTGTTTAATTCTGCCTCAATGAGTGCTAATTGTTTTTATATATTAGAAGAGTTTCACTAAGAAAGGGTAAAGAGAAGAATCTCTACACAGCTCATAGCCTAGTGCAGTGTCTCCAAAGTATGGCAAAATGAACTGTCCCATAGTAGCACACAGCAAAAAGATTTCCAACAGGCCTCCAACTCCCTCCCCAGTCTCTGTGGTCAAAGAGTGAGAGGCCCCAAAAGCCTGCCTCGGATAGAGCGTGCCTGCAGGCACTGACAGGAGCTGGACATGCTTTGCTGAGAGCTGGCTAGATGAAAGTCCATCAGCACCTGCCCACAAGCCTGTATCTGCCACATTGGACTATGTGGGGGCTCAGAATTTGAGTTTCCTCTTAGCATCAAGTATACCAGACATCAGTTTTCTGCTTCCTAGGTGCATATCCTGGGCATCAAGCTGTGAGATACTTATGGAGTATCTCTCCTGTTAGAATCATAGAATAGTTAGGGCTGGAAAGGACCTGAAGATCATCCAGTTCCAACCCCCCTGCCACGGGCAGGGACACCTCACACTAAACCATGCCACCCAAGGCTCTGTCCAACCTTGCCTGGAACACTGCCAGGGACGGAGCATTCACAACTTCCCTGGGCAACCCATTCTGTTCTTTGCTCCCTCTCTCTCTCTGAAAGACTATGATTTATTTTCCATGGAGATCAGGGAAACTTGAATCTCAAACAAAGAGAAATGCCACGAGAGAAAAACTATTTCCTGTCCAGGTCTATAGCTGCAATAGCTACAAAAGCTACAAGATTATAGAGCAGCCTAGAGTAATTATCATCTAACAGCTTCCAGCCTAGGCAATCCATTTCTTTATTTCCCTAATCTGAAACACAAATTATTGGCATTTTCTGCATAGGCTATATAAACCCCCAGTTATTCAGTCCAAACCCACATGATTTCCTGACTGGTTCACTGAAAATAAGCTGAAAGGCAGCAAGGCTACAGAAACACAAACATATTCATATTGAATAGAGACAACCCCAAAAGCCCATTGGGAAAGCTTTTTTTTCTATTAACTGATGGCATAGCCTGTGTATTCCTGAGAGAAATCAGCTACTCTATCAATCAAAGCGACTGAAATCTACTGCAAAGCCAATCTGGCAACTCCGATGGCTGGAGTAATTCAGCATGAATATAATTGCTTTTACTTAGGATTATAATTAGGACCTATTTGACAAATGTCACTCTAGCTGGGCCAGGGATAATGATCAGGAGTTGTGGGATCCCTACCTTCGGGGCGATAGCTCCCTGCAGGCTGAGGAGAGAGCTGCATTCCCCTTCATGGTATTCTTCTTTACATTCACGGCAGAACACAAACTGGAAAACAAACCAAAGCACGCAAGTCATAAAAACACATTAGGGATATAGACAGCAGGTTACAATCACGAAGAGTCATACAGCAGATGATCTCTTGCCCTTGTCATCCCATTAAATTCCCATAATCATCCTAATTGTGCATCTTATTATATACTCTGATCATTAACACAACAATTTGCTGTTATTTTTATACATTTCATTGGTGAAGTAACATAAATGCCATTATTAAAAATGAGATTTTGCTACATGGTCCATTTAGGTACATAAAGTCATACTAGATACTTTTGGGTGTGGTTTTCCTACCGTAAAATCTGTTTATACAAAGGGTGCTGGCTGAAACAAGCAGTTCTGCTTTATAGTGTTCGCTAATGGAAATAGTCTATTCATATTTCTGAATCAAATAATTTCTCTATGGAAAACTATTGCTGACTTGACTTTACATAGGTCATATGAAATACCATTCTTGAGAAAATGATATCTATACTTTTATAGAATGGTTTAAAAAAAAAATCCATAGAAGGAACACAATGATAGGTTACTTAACACAGGTTTTAGGTGACTATTTCTAGACACTTACTTCATTTCTAGCAATTGTTCTGGTTTCATCTTCCTTAAATTGCATGGTTCTTTATCTAAGGCTTCATTGAAAAGTAACGTCTTTTGCAGATGAGTAAAAGAATTGTCCCTAGCTCAGTCTGAGCTGTTTCTGCCACCTAAACTGATTCATATGTATCAAGATTGATGCCTTTTTTTTTGAACTCAAAAATGAAGATAGCTGTCTTGACATGTGTCAAAATCTTTGACCCATCAATGCTGCATTAAATTCTGTGTCCTTGCAGGTAAGAAGAAAAGTCAATAATGTAAAATGGGTTTCTCTTATGCTGTTTTAAAGCTATACTGTCTTGATGCAACTCCAGACTCTGAAAGATCTCTCAGCGGTAAGCCATTCTGACTGCCGTCATAAGCAAGACTGATATAACAGCCTTGATTTTTAGATACAAGCTGCATTCACATGTAATGAATAAAGGATATCAGGAGGACATGGCACTAGAACATTTGTCTGCCACAAATTCCAGCTGTTGGAATTTCATTTTGAACTCTTTCAAGCTGTCACTTTTCTAAGAAGCACTGAAAATGATATTTCACTGTCATGCTAAAGAAACTGCACTTTTATGAAAAGGAGCATTGTGCAAGTCTGAAAGGATTGATTCTGTTCTTCAGAAAGTCAGAGAAATGGGGAGCAGAGGGGTGGAGTTAGTGTTCTAACTTCCAGAGATATCAAACCTAATCACTTATTTGCTCTCTTGTCCCTTCTCTCCACTATTTTGACAATGATTTAAAACGTTTTATTTTACTTCAGGTAACACGGATTTGTTAATTCACTTGTGCTTGTTAGAATACAGCTTAACAATGGAAGCACTTTTGTAAGGTATGTTGTATGAGAGGCTGCATTATTGTAAAAGAGCATCATATGAATATAACAATTTGCACTACATTAGCAGTCAAAAGTTTCAGCTATGTTAAACACTGCTCAAACACATAAGGAGGGGTACTTGCTGTCTGGATACCTAATATCTCAAAGACTTGTTATCCTTTAACAAATAAGGTTATGGCCAGGTTTAACTGTATTTCCTACTATTTGTCCTATTCTCTGTTTCCTTCATGATTTTATTTCCTTATGAACACATCTGGCTGAAGGGATTTTGTGTACAATTGCTTTATCACTGCCTTATCGCACAATGCCTCAGCTTGTGTTCTGCACTCCAGTCTCTCTCACTTTTCCTACACAAGTGCAATTTTAAACCTTCCATAAACACTGAAAAGGGGGAAATAATGAAGAAAGAACACCACCACCACCATCCTCCAGGCATATATTTTGCAAAGAGTTTCCATCTGCCTCACAATGCAGTTTATGTGGCATTGCTATTTATTATAATAATAAAATTCACAAACTCATGCTGTATTATTTAAAGATGTGAAACGCATTTTCTCATTATAGAGCCCACTTTTTATACTTGCCTTTAAAATGGAAAGTCCTCAAGATCAACATTACCAATGTTTTCCCCACAGGATTGCTGTCCTAGAAGCATGCATGGGTGTATAACTGGGCCTTTCACTAACAGCTGTATATCCTGCAAGTATATCCGTGAGTGAGCTTGCCACATCCTTGTAATGAAACAAAGCCTGATTTTTTTTTTTTTTTTTTGGGGGGGGGGGAGTGAGACAGGATACTCTTTTCACATATTTTTAGAAAATGGATGAGATGTAAAATCAGTTCTGTGGCAAAAGAACACCCTGGAGGCTGATCAGTTTGTCAGAATAAATAGGCATCTCCCAACAGAAATGCAGTAAGTGCTCCCTTTTTATGGCAAAGCATGCATCATAAAGAAAAGGCATGTCACAGCAAAGAGCAGTTTGTGGTAGTTTTATTCATTTTTTACATTCTGATATAAAAAATATAATAAAGTTTCAGTAATAAAATACAGCAACTGCAAAAATGCTGTCAGTCAACTAGTGTTTTGTGGCTTCATTAATATTAATACACTTATTTTGCCCTTGGAGAAAAAAAGGATTTAAGTGGTTCAGTCAGGATTTAAGACTTTTGCATAAATTTAATATTAGCAAATGTTTAAAATTACTATAAGTAGTGTAATTACTAATAATAGTTACACTTTCCTTTCATTTACCAAAAAAAAAAAAAAAAGACTGGCAGATTATTGTGATAATATCACAACAGCATATAAACTTTCTATGTCTTTGTGTATTTAGTACTTACTTTCATTACCCTTGAAAAATTCTTCAGTTGGAAACAACCAACACAAAGAATAAATACCAAAGGTCTCAAACCTATCCCCTAGGTTTATGCAGTAAAAAGAGGATTAGCAGGGAAAACCCCAAAGCTTTTAAGGGATTTAGGCACTGGAAATCAATATAACCTGTGTGTGTGCTATTACAGGCTTTTGAATACCTGTAAAAATGTATGTTACAGCCCTAAGCAGAAATCCTGAATCCAAGTGATCTTAGAATAGGAGGTATTTAAAACCTCAACAAGGATCCAGATCATGTTTTTAAAATCCTCCCATGTTTATGATCATTCAAACAACAGGTAAAATCAGATCAAACTCTGGTCAGCAGTATGGAATTCAAACCCCACAGATCTGCAGCACCGACAGTGATGCCAAAAAAAAATGAGGATAGTGAAACCAAGCTGTAGACTCAGTTATTCCTGACTGGCCTATTTATGGCGTTTTAAATTTGGGAGTGGCAGCAGAATGTAGCTTTATTTTTTTTTGTTTGTTTGTTTTTGTTTTGGATGAAAGGAAAACAAGTTTGTCATTTACATGCTATGCTGTTCTTTTGGAAACAAGATTTTGTCATTTTCTTTTTCCCAGCATTTCAAAGATCTGCTTTCCCTTGGATTAAGCACCAGAGCTCTCATTCTCCCTCTTGCCTACTGCAAATGCCTCTTCTTTGGTCTCTGATAGTATCTCCCTATAGTGCTCATAAAATATTACTGTCAAAATTATCTTTCTTCCAACTTCAACACAGTACTCCCATTCTGAATCCATATACAAAGCTTCCAGTTTGAGCTCCCTACTATTATTTTAAAGTTATTCCTCAAATCAGAGATTCCTTTTCTTTTTCACCCTTACCTCCTTCCTGCATGTGTCTACACAGCAGCATGAAGGCAAGATTGCTGTGAGGTATCCATAGCCAAGGTTTAATCTGCATCACTGTAGGTGCACTGCAAGTACTTCAGTGTGAGCTAAGAACTCAAGCACATACCCAGATTTCTTACCAGGCTTCTGCAGTCCATGTTGAAATCTGGACTGCCACATCTTCACTCCTACAATTATTACTATTAGCTAAACTGTACACGTTTTGGCCAAAGTGTATCTTCCAAAACAGACATTCACATCCAGATTAAAGATATCAGGCGAGGAAAGATGCACTTTCATCTCTGATAATATCTCCCTGTAGTGCTCATAAAATATTACTGTTAAAATTATCTTTCTTTCAACACATAACCATGGCTCAGTGAGGCATCCATACTGTATCATCTGATAGTGATGAGACAATGCTGCTGCACAGACACCAAACACATCAGTTGGAACCCAGCCCCCTAAAGCCTTTTACTGATATCTTACGGTGATGATTTCTTACTCAGAACATTCTGTAGTTTGAAATCTTACAAAAAATGAAATTGATTTTCACAATTATTTTTTCTTATCAAACCTGTAATCTCATCATAGAATGAAATCAGTTTCCTCTGATATGACATGCTGTCATTAAGAATATATTGACTAGCAATCCTATCAAGATTGTTTTGTCTTCTCTTTCTTCTACCTTTTCTTCTACGTTTTTTTCTCATTCAGTGATGTCTGTCTGGACCCTTCACTATGGATGTGAATCACAAATTCTTAATCTACTGAATGCAGGCAGGATCAACACCTCTGTAAGTACTGAAGCTTTCTGCCAGTACTGCAAAACTAGTACAGAAAGAGACACAAAGGTTCCTCAAAACAATGACTATATAAACAAAGAAAATCAACACAGATGTTTTCACCTTTCATTTAAAATGTAGCATACAAGCTTTATCCTGCCTTCTCAGGAAAGCAAGTACTTCAAGAAATCAATGCCTCTACTCACACTTTCCTCTAAAATCAAGTCTAAAACCAAGCCAAAAGAACACTACATTGTAATCATAATTCATTCTAAGGGTGAAATAAACCAGAGCTGACTTATTAATTTTATCATTTAATGAGCAGCCAGAAAATGCACATTAAGTGCTACTGTAATGTCAAAAGGCTACAGTATATTCTAAAGAGAATACAAGGGAAACCAAGTATAATCTAAGATATACATAGAACTAGACAGACTTGCTTTTCTGTCTTCAAAACCAGTTTGGTTATATATTGCACATCAAAGCAAAATAATGTAGCATTGTAAGATACTTGGCGTGGCTTTGATCACCAGAGCATCATAGCATCATCCCTCTC